CCATTGGTCTGCTTACAGTGGTTTCTAGTCGTGAGAATGTATTGAGATTTTAGGCTGTCGGATTACGATGCCATTTGCAATAAGCAGCATTTTTATAATTTCCCGCTGTTGAGCAGTTTTTATTGAACCATGGTTTGATAGCTAGTTCACAGGTTGCGGAGTTGGGATTGTGATCTGATGAACCCAACGAGGGTTGAAAAATCTAAATTTATCCAACCCATTACAGCAGCTGCTCAAAATGTTGTCCGTTGACTTCCAGACAACAAGCCATGCGATTTTTAAAACTTTGCAATACATTTTGCAACATCCCTGTCTGCTCTATTCTTCTTATCTCGTTGGTGATTCTATCTCTCAATTCCTCAATATTGAGAGGTTTTGTTTTATAAACAGTGTTTTTCAAGTGGCCCCATAGGAAATAGTCTAGAGGATTCATGTCGGGTGATCGAGGAGACCATTCGATAGATCCACGCCTTCCAATCCATCTTCCGGGAAACAAACGATTTAGGTATTGTCTCACCTCACGGGCATAGTGGGGTGGAGCTCCATCTTGTTGCAGCCAAATATTGTTTTGGGGAATATTGTTATTGTCTGAAAGTTTCAATAAATTATTTTTTTTTTTAATTTTAAAGGCAATTGAAAATACTCACTTGGATTTGGAAATAACCGAGCCAACTCAGGTATAATACTATCTTCCAATAAACGTAAATACGCGGGACCATTCAAGTTTCCTTCAATAAAAAACGGTCCAATTATTCTGTCGCCTATTATTCCAGCCCATACATTCAGTTTCTCGGGATATTGGGTGTGGGATTCACGCATCCAATGAGGATTGTTACGAGACCAGTATCTACAATTATGCCGATTTACGTTGCCATTGATAAGAAAAGTGGCCTCATCGCTAAACATAACATTATTTAAAAAATTTGGATTGTTTGGATCGTAACATTTTCTCATCATTGTATCGGCAAACTCCTCACGTCTATCAAAATCGTCATCTGACAACTCCTGAACCAACCTCACTTTGTATGGATGGAATTTATTACCATGCAGAATTCTCATCACGGTTGTTTGAGAAACTTCAAGTTCCCTGGATATTTGCCTAGTACTCAAGTGAGGATCGTCTTCTAACATGACACAAACATCTAGAGATTTGTTGTCAGTTGATTTAGTCTTCCTGCGCCCTGATTTGGGTAGATCTTTTACTCCAGCAGTTTGGGTAAACTTTTTAAGCAATTTACTAACAGTTGATTTTGTAATGGGATTGCGGTTGGGATATAAATCATTGAAAATATCACACGTTTCTTGTTGACTTCTACGCCTATCACCATATCCCAATATCATCAAAATCTCAATTCGTTCTTTTTCAGATAAACGATTCATTATCACATTCAATGAAAACTGACAAATAATAATTTACTGAAACGTGAAAGCTATTATTTTTGTAGTCATAGAGATCTTAAGGTGTGCACAGACATGACGAGACGCTCCCGCGACGAGCTCTCATCACGCGGGACAAGCCAATGAATTATTTCAACTTTTGCGGTTTTTAATGTAAATGTAGCTATAATTCCTAAATTAAGGCATTTGGGTATAGGAAACATTTCATGAAAAATATTCAGTATTATTCAGGGATTACGAAAACTGAAAAATATACAGGGTGATCCATTTGAAATAACAAAGTTCCTAATAGTTGCCAAAAATCGAATGATCTGACAACCATGTAAATGGCACGATAATATCGGCCATATAACAATACCCTCACATACCAAAATTTATAAAAATCGAGCAAGCCGTTTTTGAGATAATTGGGCGTTTCCATACATAAAACTCACTCTGTATATCTAATACCTATTTTAGTTCACACGCCTTTCCAAAAAAGACTATGTTTTAGTTTTTACGGAACTTTTTCACATGATTTTGGTTTGTGGGCAAAGTTTCAAGCAGGCCTATATTTAGGAATTGTTGAACTCATCTCAGAGGCTTATGATATTATATATTTTTTTTTGCAATCTCCTGAATTTAATTTGAACATGTTGGCCAATCGTTTATGTTTTAAGTTTGCACAACACTTTCAAGTTACTTTTCTGATACCTATGGGAAATTTTTAGGTAATTTTTTAGGCATTTTGTTTTACATGCTGTCGAAGAGAGGTTTTAATCAATTTTCATACAACTTGTTGGAAATTTACAAACAATAAATTGCCATCAAGACACTTTTGATGCATTTCGAAAATATTTTTCAGGAAATACAGTATACATAGACTACTAGCATAGTGGAATCAAAAACATTCAATTCTTTGGATCTGAACCTCGATCTGATCTGAACACACTGCTTATAAACACATGAAACGATTGGTCAATATTTATCTATTATTGACTCCAAACAGTTCCCCATGGAGTGGAAGTATTTGCAATCAGTTGTTTTGAAATCCTCAAATTTTTGTGCATTTGTGATCAACAAACTTAAGCCCAAATAAGTTCTAACATTGTAACAAAATAATTTTCCATATTTTTTCTTTTAGAAAAGAGACCAAGAATAGAATACTTGCACAAAATTTTTATTCAAGAATCTCCTTTATATTTCTGTGAGAAGGAGTATTTGAAAATATGAAGCTCTAGGTATACCTACTTCAATGATTATTTTCTCAAAAATTCAAAATAGAAAATCCTCGAGAAAATCATCAAAATTTTAAATTTTCAGAAACGTTTTTGATTGGTTTATGTAACAACTCAGTACCAGGGTTTTCGGATTGTCGTTTTATTCCTAGCTAAAGTTGTACTTTGTAGGTACCTAGGTATAACTAAACTTTGGTATAAGGCGCGGGATAAGGTACTTATATAAATTGAAAAAAAAAAACGTATTGAAATTTGTCATAAATAAATTTTTACCAAAAGAGATTATTTTTCTTCGAATCGTTTTCAAGAACAAGAATAATTTAAAAAGAATTTTTGCATTTGGTAAATAAGACGACATTCATGTTTTTTTTTTCTATTCCAGGCCTTTGAATTTTCTTTATTTTGACAAATGCAAGGAGTAGACAAAAATTGAACTGGAAAAATTGAGAAATAGTGAGAGAAATAGAAAGAAGAAATTTGAGAGAAATTGAGAAAAATCTAGTAGACAAGTAGACACAAAATATCTTATTTCTAGTCCAAACACTTGAATTTTTCCTATTTAGAGAAACTTACAAGAAAACGAAAACTCAAGAGATGGGAAGAGAAAAAAATTGAGATCGCAAAATTGAGAAATAAAAGTAAAATATATGAGAAAAATAAGAAAAATTTTTAGATAAATGGAAATTAATGTTTTTTCCTCGGTTTTTTCTATTCAAGGCTCTCAAATGTTCTTTATTTCAGCAATTTCTGGAGCCGGCAATAGGTAAAAATAGAACTAGAAAAAATTGAGAAATCAGAGAAGAAATTTGAGAGTAATTGTTAGACAAGTAGATACAGAGTATTTTATTTCTAGTCAAAGCTCTTAAATTTTCTCAATTTAGTGAAATTTCTAAGAAAACCAAAAACTCAAAGATGGGGATAGAGGAAAATTGAGATAGAAAAATTGAGAAATAAAGAGAAGAAATATAAGCAAAAGTTGGTAGATGAGCGGAAATTAATATTTTTTCCATTCCAGGCTCTTGAATTTTCTTTAGGTAGGTATTTCCACAATTTCAAGAACCGAGAATTGGAAAAATGGAGAAATAGAGAGAAGAAATTCAAGAGAAATTGGTAGATAAGTTGGCACAAAGTATTTTGTTTCCCTTCTAAGCTATGAAATTTTTTCTATTTAGAGAAATTTGCAAGAAAACGAAAACTCAAGAGCCAGGAATAAACAAAAAATAAGACGAAAAAATTGAGGAATAGATAATTTTTGGTTGCAGATGAATTTTTCGGATTTTGGCAGTCTATAGATTATTTCCTTTTGGGAAACAATAATCCAATAAATTCAAAAACCCAATTCAATTATACATGCATTTGTTTGGAAAAAAGAAAGGCATATTTTGTGTAACTGACCCAGCATTTCAAATAGATAAGGAAAGTAGCATTTATTTAATTATGTTGAATATGATGATTAATAATTTGCAAATATATCAAAAACTAAATCTTTTTGGGGGAAAAAAAAATAAAAAATCGCTAAGTAATCTAAGTATAGTTTTTTTATCCACAGGAAAAATTGGAAAAAACTGCCAGTGTTATTATTTTTTTTGTATAAGAGTATAAGCAAAACTCACAACTTAATGGGGTAATAGAAAAAAATATTGTTTTAAATTTGAAATGAATTGAAAACAATACCTGAGTACCTTCCTATTAATTATGATTGTTTTTGTTAGAATGATTATTTGGAAGGTATTATTTGGTAGGAATAGGAAAGTAACCATTTCCCCCTGGCCCCTATACTACCTTTATTTGGACAAGGAAGATGTGAAACTAAGTTTTATAGACCGAAATAGAGAACCTAAAGAAAAATAAACATACCTTCCGAAGGTACGATTATTTTGGAGGGTATTTGGAACGCAAAAATATATGATATGAAGGTGCAGTTTTTTTGATAGGGTCAGAAAGTGACAGAAACCAAATGAATAGGTAAATACCTACCTATTTACCTGTCATTTATTTTCATGAATAAAAATAGGCTGGGGAGTTGGAAAATAAGGTATGAAAAGCAACACCAGGTATAAATAGGTAGCTACCTACCTACATTAAAAGTCAAGTAGGTGCCAAAGTATATTGTAAGTACCTATTTATATATCAAATTAATAAGCTATGCTATTATCACTTAAATATAGGGTACTAACTATTTTTAGCTATTGGGACACATACCTTATTGACAAAAATAAATATCTACCTTCACAAATTTTCATTACTTAAATAGTTCACCAAACCATTACAGAAATATCTGAGGAACGACATCAAGCATTCCTGCATAATATTACATCAAAAATAGAAATACCTTTTTAATAATAATTGAGTTTACAATTTATAAAAAAAAAATCTATTACAGACCTGTCAGATGAAAAAAGCAGCTGTGTAACAACTAACTGCACTCATGTACACTATTTTTTCACTTCTTGTTTTGCCAATAGGTGCTTTTAATTCCTTAGCACTGAACTGGGGTCAATATTTTAATGTTATTATTTATCGCGGATTGTGGGTTACCAAGACACCAAAGAATAAAGAAACCCGTAAGGATAAACACGATCACTCAATTTCAAAACAAAACACCGCTATTTATTACCTCTAGAAAATGAACCATACCTGGCTCCGACTTGCATTGCACACTGCACCTACCGCTATCCACTAGCACTACCTAGTTTAGTTTGTAGTTGTTTCTAGTTTTGCGTTTTTGGTTATTGTGGGTCGAGTTTGCGTGAAGTCATTATTCCATGGGACTAGGAGTAGCTCTACACATGCGCCGCGATTGTTTTCTTCACCTACAATTAGGATAAGAGAGTTTTCGAACCATGCAGTTTAGCGCTACGTTAACTTTTTCGATACTGATAGGTTCTTTCTCCAGCCAATCTAAAAAATCGTGGCACTCGACATAAAACACAATACTATGGGGGCTTTGCTTAAGATTTAGAGTCGCCATTCTAAATAAAATTCAACAGTCCTCGTTTTACAACCCTGCTTGAAGTAGCTAGATTGGTTATGGGACTATTTCATCTACCCCGCCAACTGTTTTTGCGCTAACTAGAAGGCGATTGATGAGAAATTGAAAATTACAATAAGCTATATTTGTATCTTCTTTATTATTGTTATAATTCTCTCAAGTTAGTTGGGGAAATTGTGCACAATCTCGCAACACTGCCTGGTGACTAGAAAATTCGCGAATTGAATTTCATCACGCAATAAATAGTCTCGTGTCCGACCGAAACACCGATAGTAAGACAGTGTTGTAATTCGGTTTTGTGGCTAGCTTTGAAGGAAATTTTTGAATAGTGTTGGTTTCGTCGTGCTTTTGTGTTATTGTCTTGAATAAAGATGAATTAATTTTGGAAGATTACCTAGTCTCAATTATCCACGAGCCCGACGACATAATATTCATTTAAATTTTTTTAACTGGATTTCGCTTCTGCTCCTTTGGAGTAAAATTTGCCAGCACGAGTATTGGATGTACATATACAGAAAACTGTCCAACTCCAAGTCCAACTCCCGAGCAGCATTATTACATCAAATTCTTATCTATGCAAATAACTTTGATGAGCTGGGTTATTGCAGTTTACGAATTGTGTTTTTTTCCCCTGTCCTACACATCTAACCATCATTCAACAATGGAAATTCTTTTAAAAAATCTACAACTGTATTATGACTTTGATGTCTTTGCTTTGGCGGATTATGATGAGAATATACACAGCTTGTAATGCCAACTTTCTGATCATCATCATCATCATAGGCGATCACTCGATACCGAGTTTGATTATCTCCTATTTAATTCTTATTGTCGTCGACCCTCTGGCAGCATTGTTTCTTCGTCTGTTCTCTCGCTTCTTCCTGCGGTTCCTCTTTTCGGTCTCGTGTCTGCCTCGCTGTTCTTTAAAAGTTTGTGGTCCATCGTGGAGTCGTGGACTACTCGACGCCATGAGGGCCTGGGCCTATCATTTGCCGTCGTTTCCCAGTTGCTGGTATCGATGAGGCACTTTGCCATATTTTCCCTAAGAACATCTTTTTAGCGTTTTTGTTGACCTCCTTGATTTCGTTTGCCCTCTTTCAGTTGATTGTAGAGAATCTGTCATGGAAAACGTGTTTCGGGAATGCGGACGAGGTGACCTGTCCAGCGAAGTTGCTACTTAATGATGAGGGCTTCCATGCTAGTTGTTTTAGCCTCCTCCTAAACCGGAGGATCCTTGTTAGGCATCGCTGGTGGTATTTTTCTAGGCTTTTTATGTGTCTTCTGTAGGTGGTCCATGTTTCGCATCCATATATAAGTGTTGGTATTGCAACTGCATTGTAGACGCGAAGTTTGGTCCCAGCGCTGATGTCGTGATTATTCAAGACTCTCTCTAGATGTGGCCCGAATGTTGCGCTAGCTATAGTGACTCGATAAATCTTTAAATCTATTGGTTTGTACAGGCGGCGGCCATGTTGTTGCAAAATTTTCGCCTATTGTCGCCACTGTTTGTGAAGGTTTATCGAGTGAGTCACTGTAGCGCTAAACATACTTCAAGCGATGTTGGATTTCAGCGTCTATGGTTGCATTTCGCTGACCAGATGGCTCACAAGGTATGGTATGGGTAATGTTCCATGTTTTGCAAAGATAGATCATTTATAGTTATATTTGGGGCTTGGAAATTAGTGCGGATTGGTGCAGAATCTGTGTCTTGTTAAAGTTGACCTCTAGGTCGATTTTTTTGTATGCCTAGTTGAATGCATATCGATAATCGCCTGAAGATCTTCCTTTTTGGCCATCACGACGTTATCATCCGCATATTGAAGTTCAATTTGTCGATGTCATCGATACCTTCCGTCTTGGTCGTAATCTGTCTAGGTTAAATGAGTCGCCATCAATGATCAAATCCGTACAGGATTTCCACTCCTGACGGCAGGTGGGTGACACTCGACAAGGTGAAGTATGGTTCTTATAAATCGAGAAAAAGTGGCTGCAATAACACAGCGTCCAGTGTAACGCCTGTAGTTATTTGAAAAGACTCTCCTTGTTCATCAGTGTGGGGGGGGGGAGGGGTAGAGTTAATTTCAGAGGTGGCGCACGATCCCTATTGAAGTGCCCTCGGGAAATATAGAAAAAATTGTGTGTTTCGCACTTTCAAGTTGGAAAACATTTTTTGGTGGAGCATTCGCAGCATGGTCAAGAAAGAATGTTGATGGGATTCTTGAGTATGGGTTCTTTTGGTTACGATTTGTGGCGCTTAATTGCTTTATTTTCTAAGCCCTACTGAAACAAAACGTCCCAGTTAGCCAGAAATCGATAGATTCGTCTGCATATATTGCCCCTATAAACTTTCAATATGCAATCATTTGATGCATGCAAATTGCTATTTGAGAGTCTTTTTGTCTTATCATATGCTATTTTTGAGCTCAGGTTTAGAGTCAAAGAGAACCTAAAATCCTTAACAACAACTTTTGCTGATCAATGTATTTTACATACAGCCTTTTGGGATCAAGTCGTCTTGTAAAATCTTATAAAGTTCCAATTTTTGTGTTTCATTATTCATGATTTCTGAATGCTACAACTAATAGTAAGGTAAATTTTGCTACCAACTCCTAATTAGCTCATGGACTGTAATATTTTTTAAATCTAGTTTTGTCATGTTTGTTACGTCATTATTATTATAAAAGATTCTTATACATGAAAATAAAAAAATCACTTCGAAAATTTCACTTTTACCTGTACCTCTCAAGAGCCTAAATACGCGTCACTCGTCAGTGGCGCAAACGGTATTAAGTATCTCCCCGATTCTAGCCATAAGCGCTAACTGAACCTTGCCGAGAATGGCCGAGATACGGAAACTCATGGTATGAGCACAGGTATGAGGGTATGGAGTTAGGCAGTTGTGCACTCAACGCCATACCTAACAATCAGTATGGATAATAATGCAAATATTTTCTTGAAACCGTGTGACAAGTTTCACTAGATTCATTAATTTGTTGCGTAACAAAAAAATAAAATCCGGTTTTTTTTACATCATCAAAACATTATTTTCTTGCGATTTCTGGATAGAATGTCGAAAAGCCTTATGAAAACTGGGTATTTGAGGACATCAGGTAGGTAGACCCTCCCTGCGATGGTTTTCCCTGCAGGTTACAACCTGAACCGTTTCAAGACCAACATACACCGACATTTCCGCGCACTTGCCGCTTCTCGAGCGTGATAGGACATTTCCTTGCGAGTGCGCATATCCGTAAAAAAAAAGACCTAATGAAGTAATTTTTCAGGAATGACTAGCATACAAGTGCATCTACTGGTAAAATACATGTGATAACCGAGCTTGTGTGAATAAAAGCGAGATACTGTTTAAAGCGTTTAATAATTAATGTCACAGATAATATATAGAGTTATGCAATAATATGAATTAGGGCTTGGACGTTCGCGGAGAGGACCGTAGCGAGCGGCGGCATTAAAAGGTGCTTATCGTCACGTAGGTAACAGTAGACTGGCGGAGGTAGTCGTGGTGGTGGTTCTCGATGAAGCCGGATGTTTCGTCATGAGTTCCCTGTAGCGACCCCTGGTAGTGTACCTTGGTTCGTTTGGGGTCATGGGAGCTGACCACTTGGCAACCTGGCTAGAGGCTGACCCATCACACCTCCCTCTTTAAGCTGAAACTCATTTTCGTTAACATTACCTAATGACAATTCGTATTTATGTAAATACGATGCATTTCCACTGCTGTGCTGAACATTGCACTAGTGGTTGTGAGCAAACACTCGTTGCGTTTATTTGTCTCAGAATTGTACGACTTAGCGTCCTGATTGAACTTTATCACAACGACTGTTAGCTCTGTTTGAATGCTAAAGTGTTTCATGCCGTGGGATTATGTGACTCTGACATTACAAATGTGTTTCGTCTACAATGACTTTGATGTTTATTATTCCGCCAACAGCTGCGTCCATCTGAGTCTGAAATTAATTTATGCCTAATTCTACAATACATTATTCGTTAATCAAAGTCTAATATAAAATCTTTCAAATATGAATTCGTTTTTCTATTTCGCTTGGGCCTCATTTTGGTTGCGTCATCAATGTCCTTAGTGCTCGATTTTCTAAATTTATCAATTAAATTTTCGTCACTTACATTTGTTGGGTATATTGTCGCACTGTATTGTTTTTTTACAGCACCTGTCGCATTGTTCATGGGCCTAACACTAGGAGTATAAGTGTTTTCTAAATCTAAATGGGATGCACTGTCCAGGGTCACTGGAGCAGCGTTACAACTCACACTGGTTTCATTTTGGGACTGGTCCAATGGTGGTTCGGCTATGTTCTGTGAAATGATTATATTATTAGTATCATTTTCATGACTGGAATTGTTAGAAATATTAATATTGTCATTTTCAGAAGTATCATCATTATTAGGCTGAAAAGAATTGTTATTTTTATTGTTAGTAAAGTCAGCAATTTTGTTATTATTGTAATTTAAGGTGTTTTTCTGCCTTTCCAGTTCTCTCTCGCCTAAACCTTTCCCTTCCCCAGCCCTTATTTGGTTGGCATGTCTTTTCCAGACATTTCCTTCTTCGATTTTGCATTTGAAGGTCGTTTTTCCTATTTGTTTTTCGATTTTTGCACTTGTCCAGGTTTCTTTGTTGTTTCGGTAGTCTCTCACGAAGACAGCTTGGCCTTTCTCGAATAGCTTGCGTTTGACTCCCCCATAATTTCTCTTTTGAGCTTCTTGAGCTTTTAACA